TAACGCTCCCCCTCAAGCTCGGCAGTACAGGTTGTACATCCTGAGCTTGTTCACTAGCTTCTCAAACAGTGGTCTTCCAAGACCTTTGGTTAGAAGATCAGCTGCTTGCTTCGATGTTGGAACATATGTAACACATATTGTCCCATCTTCAATTTTTTCCTCAATGAAATGTCGATCCACCTCAACGTGTTTAGTTTTGTCATGATGAACTAGATTATAAGAGATGTTGATTGCGGCCTTATTGTCGCAGTAGAGCTTAAAAGGAACCGGTACATCCATCTTTAGTTCACCCAATAACTTCCTTAACCACAAGAGCTCACATACACCATGTGCAAGTGATCGTAGTTATGCTTCAGCACTACTTTGAGCCACGACAGTTTGGTTCTTACTTCTCCAAGTCACTAAATTTCCCCACACTAAAGAGCAGTAGCTTGATGTAGACCATCTATCACTCATGGAACTAGCCCAATCTGCATTTGTGTAGGTCTTAATGCTTCTTGATTCGCTTTTCTTGAAGAATAATCCTCTTCCTGGAGTAACCTTTAAATATCTTAGGACCCTAAAGACAGCTTCCATGTGTTCCTCGGTAGGAGCATGCATAAACTGACTTATGCAGCTAACAGCAAATTCGATGTCCGGTCAAGTATGAGAAAGGTAAATTAATCTCCCAACTAACCTCTGAAATCTCCCCCTATCCACAGGACTACTTGAAGCTTCCGTCCCTAATTTCTTGTTAGGATCCATTGGGGTATCTACCGGCTTACATCCTAGCATTCATGTCTCGTTCAATAAGTCGAGTACATATTTTCTTTGAGATACGGAGATTCCAAACTTATTTCTGGCAATTTCTATGCCTAAAAAATACCTCAAAGTCCCGAGATCCTTAATTTCAAATTCCGAGGACAACCCTTTCTTCAGCCTTATAATCTCTTCTTCGTCATTACCAGCAAGAACAATATCATCGACATAAACAATGAGGATTGTGACTTTCTTACCTCTATGTTTGTAAAACAGTGTGTGATCTGCTTGAGCCTGAGAGAAACCTTGTTTCTGGATTGTCTTAGTGAAGCGATCAAAGCATGCTTTAGGCGACTGTTTCAAACCATACAGTGATTTCTTAGGTCTACATATCTTTCCCCTCTTGCTATCTCCATCAAACCCAGGTGGTAGTTCCATGAACACTTCTTCTTGTAGTTCACCGTTCAGAAACTCGTTTTTGACATCGAGTTGATGAAGTGGCCATTCCAAGTTAGCCGCTAAAGAGAGTAGAACGTGTACAGTATTGATTTTTGCCACAGGAACAAATGTTTCTTGGTAGTCAATATTGTATGTTTGAGTGTACCCTTTGGCTACTAACCTTGCTTTATGTCGTTCGATCGATCCATCGGCTTTATACTTAACTGTAAACACCCATTTACAACCAACCGGCACTTTATCTTTTTGTCTGTCCACGATCTCCCATGTGCAATTCTTTTTCAAGGCTCGAACTTCTTCCATTATAGCCTTCCTCCAATCCTCCTTTCCCATTGCCTCTTCAACGGTTTTTGGAATTTCAACCTCAGAAAGATTAGCAACGAGTGCTTTGAGTGAAGTTGACAAGTGATCATACTCCACAAAATTTGAGATTGGGTGTTTTGTGCACATTCTTGTTCCCTTTCTTATAGCCACAGGGATGTTGAGATCATGATTATTTTTACCTGAACCTGATTCAGAGGTAGAATCTTGACAGTGAGAAAGTTCATGATTTTTTACCCCTTTTGACAATTTTTTTGTGAGTAGGTCAAGTCAAACGGTTGTAGACCACTCTGTTCTGCCCGTTTTTCTTCCTGAAATATTGGCTGATTATTTTTATTTTTCTGAGCATCTAGATTTTCTGTTGAAGTTCGAATTTCAGGTTGAATTTGGAATGGGACTTCGGTTACGGGTGGATTTGAGGGAGTATCAATTAAAGCAAGATTTGAGGAGTTTGGATTTTGATTGGAAGTCGGGTTGATTTGCTGATTTTTATCTGGAGTAGGGTCCACGGTTGGTTGGGGAGCTGAATTTGAATGGAGAAAAAGGCTGAGATGGAGGATTCCAGAAATATTCCCAGCGTTCAAAAGTTGAATTCCCACACGAGTCTAGGCTGTCATTTGTACCCGGATTTTGTGAAAAATTTTCCAAAAAATTCTCCACTTAGATTCTCCCCTTGAAGAGAATTTTCCTGAAAAAACGGCTGTGTTTCAAAAAAGGTGACATTTGCAGATGTGAAATATCTCCTTTTTTCAAGGGAGTAACACCGATAGCCTTTTTGAGTGCCAGAATATCCAAGGAAAAGACATTTATTTGCCCTTGGATCAAGTTTTGTACGGTTGAGATTAGGAATGTGGACAAATGCTATACAGCCAATATCTTGGGCTCTAAGCTAGAAAACGACCTAGTATTAGGAAAATATTTTTGAAGAAAATCTGATGGTGTTTGGTATTCTAGAACCCTAGTTGGTAAATGATTAATGAGATAACATGTAGTAAGAATGTCATCACCCCAGAACCTTCCACACATGTTGTAAATAATAGAAACCTAGCCACTTCTAACAAATGGCGATTCTTTCGTTCGGCGATCCCATTTTGTTTAGGTGTATCGACACAGGAGCTTTGGTGAATAACTCCATTTGCCAATAAAAAATTACCAAGAATGGAGTTAAAATATTCAGTACCATTATCAGTACGAAGCATCTTAATTTTTTCATTGAACTGAGTTTGATTCATGGAATAAAAAATTTTAAAAATTTGCTCTGCATCAGATTTGTCTTTCAACAGATACACCCAACACACGCGTATGGTCGTCGATAAAAGTAATAAACCATTTGTGATTAGTGACACTCTTAACACGTGAAGGACCCCAGATGTCACTATGAATTAAAGTAAAAGGCTTTGAAGCACAATATGGTTGAGATGGCAAGAAGGCACCTTTATGTTTTGCTAATTGGCAAATTTCACATTGAAACGAATCATTTTTATTCTGTAACAAGGAAGGAAACAAATATTTCAAGTACAAAAAACTAGGATGTCCTAGCCTATGATGGAGTAGAATAATTTGTTCTTTCCTAGAAACGGTAGTGATTCACAGTAGTATGAGCATGACAACTCACAGATGGATTGTGTTCAAAGTAGTAAAGACCCTCAACCTCCTTAGCACTGCCAATCTTCCTCCCGTTAATCAGGTCCTGAAAAACACACGTAGAAGAGGAAAAATTAACCACACAATTTAGTTCTTTAGTAATCTTACTAATAGAAATAAGATTGCATGATAAACTCGGAACATGTAGAACAGAGTTAAGGGTGATTGTGGAATTTATTTTGATGGATCCCACTCCTGCAACCACGGAATACGAGCCATCAGCAACCTTAACTTTATGGTTTCCTAGACTCGGGGTGTATGACTGAAAAAGTCTTTGACAGCTTGTCATATGGTCAGTAGCCCCTGAGTCAATAACCCATGGCTCACCTTTCTCTATCATGCCTCCAAAGAATTCATTCTTCTTTGCCATAAGATAAGTACTCGACTGTTGCTTTCCAGAGAATAAATTGCAAAGCTGCTCCATCTGAGCCTTGGAGAGGGTGAGACTCCTAGTGTTTTGCTTCGGTTATGAGTCATGAGTGGCTTGAAGTCCTCTACTATCTCGATTTTTGAGTCGGTTAGGAACCCAGTTAGCTGGTTTACCATGAATCTCCCAGCTGGTTTCCTTGGTGTGGTAAGCCTTTTGGCAATGATCGCACCAGGCTTGCCCCTTTTTGGTGGACGAGCGAGTGTTTCCTCATTTTTTTGATGTCTGTGCAACTAACGCCGAGGTTTCAATGGTAGTGGTCGCCGTTTCTCCAAGCATTACTCTCCGGCGATATTCTTCACGCTGAACTTCAGAAAAAACTTCACCAATGGCTGGCAGTGGTCGCATTCCAAGAACACAGCCTCTCACTTCATCAAGTTCTTTGCATTCCAAGAACACGGCCTCTCACTTCATCAAGTTCTTTGTTAAGACCTGCCAAAAATTCATAGACGCGATCTTTGTCCTGCATTTTCTTATAAAGAACAGCGTTTTCGGGATCCCTCCATTGACAGGTGTTGAAAATATTGAGTTCCTGCCACAATTTCTTCAAGGAATTGAAGTATTGAGTCACTTCAAGGTCTCCTTGTTTGAGGTTTCTGGCTTGGTTGTGAAGTTCGAACAACTGAAACGAATTCTCGAGGTCAGAATAGGCTAAAGTCACAGCATCCCATATCTCCTTTACTGTGGGATTAAACTGGAACGTGTCACCGATGCTATCCTCCATGGAATGGATTAGCCATGCCATCACCATCGAGTTCTGAGTGTCCCAATTGGAGTATGTCGGAACAGTAGGCTTCGGTTTGGGAATTGTTCCATCCAAATATCCGATTTTGCGTTTGCCTCTAATCACCATTTGTGCTGATCGGGACCATTGGAGAAAATTCTTCCCGTTTAGTTTGCGAGTTGTGATTTGCAGAGACATAGGTGAGTTTTCAATGACGGCAGTGGGAATGATTGTGGAGATAGTTTGCGAGGTACCCGAGGTAGCCTCAATTCCCTTCCTCCGCTCATTCCTGTTGTTTAGTTCTTGTCAACTCACAAGTAGCCTTTAATGCTCTGATACCATAAAAGCTAAATGGAGGAGAAAAACAATCTAAATACTGCTATTATTAATCAGAAAACTTAATTACTTTACAGGAGAAATACTCTTTACATAGCCTAGGAGAACGAGTCTAACTAACCACCTAACTTCCTAAAAACAAGGAGATAAAAAAGCTAACAAATACAGCAGCATTACAACCCCAAAATACACGGATAATCTAACCACATCCGCTAACAGTTTCTTTGTTGACCGCTGCTCTTATATTCCACGCAATATCTGTGTCTAGCTTGTATTGAACAAAATATAGCACAGTTGTTGAATTTCGAACACTTTGTACTTGTTTGTATTAACGATGAACCAAACTCTATGCAGGCTGCTCACAGCTACAGTAGCTTGGCCTTTCCCTGCAATTATTTATATTGGAATTATTCTTTCAACTTTAGGTGCTGCTCTTCAGAGCCTGACTGGTGCCCCTCGCCTGCTTGCAGCAATTGCCAATGATGATATCCTACCTGTACTTAACTACTTTAAAGTTTCTGAAGGGAATGAGCCTCACATTGCTACCCTGTTTACTGCATTTCTCTGCATCGGGTGTGTCATAATTGGGAATCTGGATCTTATCACGCCGACCATAACTATGTTTTTCCTTCTATGTTATTGTGGTGTCAACTTATCTTGCTTCCTCCTCGATCTTTTAGATGCTCCTAGCTGGCGTCCTCGGTGGAAATTTCACCACTGGAGCCTCTCTCTTCTTGGAGCTTCGCTTTGCATTGGTATACTTGCTTCTCCATTGTTTCGCTTTTAGTTTTATTGTGCTTCACTTTTTTGGGATTTTGATGAAACTTTTTTGGGATTTTGGTGAAGAAAGGCAATAATACAAGCATAATAATTTCCATCTTTGGTGAAGATTATAGCTAAATGACTAATTTTCTCTCTGAAAGAATATTTAGAAAATTATCTGTTTCACTTGGGTAGGGATATCATCTTTATGATATGGGCATTTATTGCCAATCCATGCCACCCACCTGAAAAATGATTTTCGTCTTTCCGAAATCTGAAAGTCTATTTTGGCAGGTTTAAATTCTACGTTTTTTCCACCCTGAAACATTACTTTTTCATAATATGGAAGACTCAACATTTCGATAGATATAGACTTCATCTTTTGGTACAATTGAGTACTGGACCCTATTTCCTTATTATTTTTGGCCTCATTAGGTGAGGGTTCTTATCTTGAAATTTAGGAAAATAATGGATTTATTATACTTATGAAAAAGAAGGGTAGATGGGATGATTCTTATCTTCCAGGAAGATGACGCATAAATCTTGCCACTGGAATGTTCAACTCCTTCGTTAGATATAAAAAGGAAATGACTTTCATGCAGAAGCATCTCTTGCAAACAGTGTGCTATATTTTTATGGTTACCGCCTGTTTGAACTTTGATTTCGTCTAGGGATGGTACTTACCACCTGTTTTTATTGCCCATGCAGTTATTATGTTCTTGATCTCTTGGTCATTCACTGTCGTATCTCTAGCTCTTGCTAGCCTTATATATTATTATGTGAGTATTAAAGGAAAGGCTGGGGACTGGGGTGATGGTTTCAAGAGTGCTTATTTCCAACTAGCTCTACGCAGTCTTCGATCACTTGGAGGTACATGTACCTGTGAAAATAACTATGCAGTTTGTTTGTTACTCTTTCATAACAGCATCCTTTATTGTGGTATTGACGTCTATTGCTGTGATTTGGACCTAGTTGTAATATCTAATAGCTGTGTGGATTACTAAGTTCATGTAAGTAGATATAAATGTTACGGGTTTTGTAATTTTTAGTTGGCGAATCACTATTTCTACTAACTGCAACCTTCTAAAACTTGGCACTCTTACTTTACCAATGTTATATATATATATATGTTACGTTTCTATCGGTGGTCATGGCTAAATATAGAAATTTAATGACGTGGCGTGATAAGAATCCAATTTCATTTATTGTTATTGATTTTTTTGGTCGACTATTATCTTGCGGCTAAAACAATACCCATTGATGGGTAAATATTAGAGTAACCATTAAAACCACACACTCATATATTTATATATGTATGTATGTATTGGAGAAAATATCAATGTTTCTGGACTTGGCGATATTCAATCATCTTCTTGCTAGAGTACCATGGTAGATTGGGTCTCACCTTTAATGCATCAACATTTTTTTTTATTGCTTGAACAGAAAACTGCTCCAATATGTGGACATAGGATGGGCATTCATAAGTTTTAGTCTATGGTGGGCTAATTGGGTTGCTTATTTATCATCATCTGCTTTTGGTTTGCGTATATATATATATCGGTGCATGTAACACGTACTTATCTATATATGTGGATATAGATTTGGTGGATATATTCTCGTAGTACTTACGTTTTCAACCTTTATTTGCAGCAAACCATGTGCACCCGAAGAATTGGTACCCCATCCCCCTGATATTCTGTCGTCCATGGGGGAAGCTTCCAGAAAATGTTCCCTGCCATCCAAAACTAGCTGACTTTGCCAACTGCATGAAGAAAAAGGGCAGGGGAATGTCCATCTTTGTGTCTATACTTGATGGAGACTACCATGAGTGTGCTGAAGATGCCAAGGAAGCCTGCAAACAGCTCGGTACTTACATTGACTACAAGCGTTGTGAAGGAGTAGCTGAGATAGTTGTAGCCCCCAATATGTCCGAAGGCTTCCGTGGCATTGTCCAGACAATGGGTCTCGGAAATCTCAAGCCAAACATTGTGGTGATGCGGTACCCTGAAATATGGCGTCGTGAAAACTTAACTGAAATTCCTGCTACTTTTGTCGGGATAATTAATGATTGCATCGTCGCAAACAAGGCAGTTGTTATTGTCAAGGGTCTTGATGAATGGCCCAATGAGTACCAGAGGCAGTATGGAACAATTGATTTGTACTGGATAGTGAGAGACGGTGGTCTCATGCTTCTCCTTTCTCAACTACTACTCACCAAGGAGAGCTTTGAAAGCTGTAAGATTCAAGTCTTCTGCATTGCAGAGGAAGATGTTGATGCGGAAGCGCTCAAGGCTGATGTTAAGAAGTTTTTGTACGATCTTCGGATGCAAGCTGAAGTGATTGTCATTAATATGAAATCATGGGATGCACAAGCAGAGGGTGGTTCTCATCAAGACGAATCTATAGAAGCATTCACTGGAGCGCAGCAGCGGATTGCTAATTACTTGGCGGATATGAAGTCAAGGGCTGAGAGAGAAGGAACCCAACTGATGGCCGATGGAAAGCCTGTGGTTGTGAATGAGCAGCAAGTGGAGAAGTTCCTTTACACGACACTGAAACTGAATTCAACGATACTAAGATACTCGAGAATGGCTGCAGTAGTCCTAGTGAGCCTACCACCGCCTCCGGTGAACCACCCGGCATACTTTTACATGGAGTACATGGATTTGTTGGTGGAGAATGTGCCGAGGCTTCTTATTGTAAGAGGGTACCGAAGAGATGTCGTAACTCTATTCACATAATATTCAGTGGGATTTTCCATTTGGAAGGTAAGAACTATTTTTTTGAAGTTTGTTCATATGATTATGATTTTTTCTCACCCCTCTAATGTATGTTTTGTTTTAGTTTCAAATTTCAATGTTAAATTCATTCTTTTTACAGACTTTATTACTGAAGCAGAATTTTGCGCTTTTGTTATTAGTTTTGTAGAAATTTTGTAATTTCATCCTCCTCGGATGTGTTCTTTTATGAGTTATACTGTCGTTCACTTCAGAATCAATTTTAAGTTGGGCCGTGCCATGTTTTGGGATCGCTTACTAAAAATTGGAGATAAACAATAGGAAAACCACAATCCTTATAAAGAATCGGATCCGCCAGTAAATACAAATGGAATGCTCAAGGTGCTCAAGGGGAAGAAGAATATACTGAGTTTCAAAACCAAACATTTAAGAAGGTAAATCAAAGATCTAACGAAAAACATGGATTGTTGATAAATTCTCTACAGTCTAACAGATAAATTTGATATATCCCCAGCGTCACGCAAAACACCGTCAAAACGCAAATGAAGCGGATTGAAAATAGAAACCAACACTAAGAAATGAAGCAAACACAAACAAAATGGAAATAAAAAAAAAATCTCTATTACAAATCAAAACACAAAAAAAAAATCTCTTTTACAAATCAAAACAAAAAAAAAAAAAAAAAAAACCCCCAAGCTTCGCCATCAAAAGCCTTCGACGAAGTGACAATTGGAAAAGGAATTGTTGGGGGACTTCGAGAGACGCGACAAAGTCGAGGAGGCGCCACTGTTTGGACCTCATGCACTGCCATGGGTTGAATTCCATTTTAGTTCTTAAATTTCAAAAAGTTGAGCAAAGTCTTTTTCACAGTAAATTCTTTTATGGAACTAATTACCCCACAAAAAAAAAAAAAAGAGGTTTTGTGGAACTAGTCATCTTGTAATAGAAAAGGTCTGAACACTTTAATGGAAAAGTAGTCAGGTGGTGATGTATTAACTTTATTTGAAATCAGTAACTCGTATCAAGCTCTGTTAGTATTGTATACTTTTTTATTTTGCTTTGGTTTTTTTATTGGATAGTAGTTTAAACTGTGCGTTTACGCGCGCAAGATTCTGTAGAAACCATTAATAATGTTAGTATAAATAGATATAAAAAAAAAAAAGTAGAAAAGTGAGGAGGACAAAAAATGATGGACCAAAAAGATGTAAAGATGAAAGGACTAAAAAAAGCAAAACACAAAAAGCAAGAAAAAAAGGGCGAAATATTTCATCGTTTGAGGAGATAATTGGAAAGTGAGTTGTTTTTTATACACGTTTTAAAAACTATTTATTGGGTCCATACAAAAAAAAAATGTAGTTGAGAGGGTAATTTCATTAAAAAAAAAAGTTTAGATAAAGACATATGAGAAAAAATAATTTTAATGGGGCAATTAGAGAAAAGATATTTATGAGAGTTCGTAGTTGAAAAAAGGAAAACAAAAAGAAAATAAAAAAGAACCATGGACGATAAATTTTGTTCATGTGAGGAAAATTTGTTAAACATATATAAGTGTAGATAGAGATACATATATGATAATATATTATTTCAACATGAATATTAGAGAGAGAAAATATTTACGAGAGCAACATATTGAAAAGAAAAAAGATTATAGAGGTGGGGGAGAAAAGATAAGAAGAGAAAAGAAGAGAGGAAGAGGGAAAAAAAGATAAAAGCAAAGGAAGCGCAAAAAGAAAGAAAGAAAACCTAATTTGAAACGTTTCGCACGAAACTCATCCTCTCTTAACATTTAGGTAAAAGTAAAGGATAAGATAAGATGAGATAGAAAATTATTCACATTTCGCAATACCTTTGCTATAGAAACCTCCTCATTCACCTTTTCACATGCGGAGGAATCCGTGATTTATTTTCATGAAATTCATAAGGAGTAAAGACCATTATGTTCTTTTTAGCAGAAGAGATGTCCTTGGATTTGGATGCATCTCAAGTTCCTCAGGACCGATCTTCTCTTAATTGGTTTCACTTTTCAGCATCACCATCTTAAGGGAACACTTCTCCTTTTTTATTGTTAGGTATTAAATAAATTATCTTATCAATTAAGAACTTTATGAGAAAAAGATATAAATACCTTTTAGAGTATATGAATTTAAATTTTTAATTCTTATTAATGATTAATATCATTTGTAGTCAAATAATTGTATTAATTAAAAGGGTATTTATCAAGAGTAATGGACAAACATCAAAATCCATCATATGGTAAGTATATTTCTATGATAGAATTAGGAAAAACAAAATTAGCAACTTTCTAGCAAAAAAAGGGAACTTTCTATGATAGGATTATTCTGTTTGTGAACATTAAATTTAATTAAAATCTCATTAAAATAAAAAAAATGTAAAATTCATAAAAATTTATTTATTTAAAGAGTAATGTTAGGGACACCAACTCAAATTCTCTCTTGTGTATTAACTGATGTGTCATGTGAATTGTCATTTTTTATTAGTAGATGCAATATCTTATCATTGATTGACGTGACAATATTTTAAACATCTACCAATGTAAAAATGATAAATCATATACCAGATCAATTAGTACATAAAAGTTAAAATTTGAGTTAGTGTCTCTAGCATTATTCTTATTCAAAAAAGAGCACACAGTGAGTTAAAAAATCTCATATCAACCACATTCACATCTAAAAGAGAAGCTAAATAAAAATTGTGGTCTAACAATATGTATTATTTAAAAGTTATAGAGAAAATTAAGTAAATAACCATTTTTTGTCACATTTTTTAATAAATGACTGAATTTTTTATTTTTTTAGATACGTGACCAATTCTTTTTGAAAGGACATGACTGGTTTTCTACAATAATTTATCATAGATAAACCGGTGTATCATTAATTCACCAATGATTTACCACCGATAAATCTGTAAATTGTTGTAATGAAATTGATTAATTATTAACTGATATTGGTTAATTAGTGGTAAATCACAAAATTATTTAGTAGTAAATCACCAAGTCAATAAGTCAATAAGTGATAAACTAAAATTAATAAAAAAGGGTATTACTCTACTTTACAAAACCTGGCCATTTACTAAGAAAAGGACTGATAACAGCCACTTGGTTCCAAATCCCAGAAGAACTTGTCTTTAATTGCCAACCTGAATTCTGACCTCTCCGCACCTTTCTATACATTTCTTGGGTAGTCACCTTGTCATGACTAAAGAAGGTGGATACACTTTGTGCAACTTTTTAAATTGATAAAACTATTCTCACACATTGGCGATTCACTAATCTCTAAACAAATCCAATTATATTTTGAAAGACATAATTATCTTTTAGTAAACAAAAGAGACTAGTGAAAATTTTTTTTGAATATCTTCTAGTACAAAAAAAGAAAAAAAAGAAAAATTGTACTAGTAATACATACTTGTGATTTGTGAACTATAAATTTTGCATCGATTGTGAACTATAATGTAGTCTTCTTTTTTTTTTTTTTTTTTTTGCTCAATTTCAAAGGATTTTTTTTTTGTAGTTATGTTTATTAATATGTACGACATTAACTCTTTAATGATAATTACCATAGGTACACAACCTAAATCAGTCGTACACATATTAATAAACATAACTAAAAAAAAAAACTCAATTAGTAAATCTCTTACATATCAGTAAATCTCTTATTTTAATTAATGTATTTTAATTTTATTCAATTCTAAAAACATTATTTATACACAAATTTATTTGGATATATTACAGAACGCTTATTGGGCAATGTCACATGTATTTCCCGAATATACATTTGGGAATATAAAGAAAGATAACAATCCAAATGGGAAAGAAACATGAAATTTTAAATTCAAATTGAATTTAAAAATAAAATTAAACAATAACATATTTTACCAAAAAAAAAAAAAATACATTCAATTAATTTTCTACCCGCTTTCTAGTTTCATCAAGCAAGAAGGATCTAATGCTTGGCTAAACCCCACGCACTGAGTTCATATTTATTTCCATTGTCTACAAAAAGCAACAAAGCAAAAATATTATCAGTATATGTAAAATACTAGTACTGTTAATTATATTGAGTACATGTTATATTATGAATTACCTGAGTACTTATATTGGAATTTAATGTACTTGTTTAGGGAGTTAATTGTACTTTTCGTTTAAAAAAAACTGGAATAGGTTAAGTATAATTGCACTTTGCAACATGGTTGTAAAGGTAATATTTGTCGAATGGAGATTATAAACAAATAGAAGCAAAATATTATTAAGTATATAAGTAATTTTTATACCAATTAAGTATAAAACTTGGGAGATTCTCTGGTATGTTGGCGTACTGATAGGTCAGTTTTTCTAACCGTTAGATCTGCATACTTTTTGATTTTTACGTGATTTTATGCAGATTTGACGGACAGAAAACTTAGCCAATCGATATGTTGGTGTACCAGAGAAGAAGATCTTATAAAACTTTCATGCAAATATTTTATTACCTGAGCATAGACGTTGTGTTAGTAGCGTACATATATAAAATAGTTAAATATGTTTGGAAATAAATTTAACCCTGTTTTTCAACTTTTCATTCACAGGAAGAAATTGCAAGCTTCGTTTAACGTTCTCAAATAAATTTAAATGTTTGAAATAGTATTTTAAAATTGAAATAAAATTATATAAAGTTAATTAAATAATATAGGAAATAATTTTAACTCAGTAATTAAGGTAGTACGTATTAGAAAAAAAAAATAAGTAAAAATTACAAGTTAAAAAAAACAAATTACATAAAATAAACAAGATAACGTAGTACATCCAATTTACTTAATTTTTTATTTTAATATAATTGTGGCAAATACTATAACTTTAAAATAGTTGGTCTTATTCACACACTTATTTTTACTCTTCATACTTTTTCTAAATTAAAATTTATCTTATAAATAAAATACTCTCACATAAACATTAAAAAAAAAAAAAAAACCTTAAAAAGCGAAAAGAAAAATATCCCAAAAAACTCCTAATAGGTGGGGCCTTTATTCCAGTCTGGAGCAATATCAGTCCCACTATATTTGCGACCGTCATTACTCATTATATATTCCTATATATATATATATATAATTAAAGTTCTGTAATGAGCCGAGTGAAACGAAACAGCTGTGAATAGACTGTAGAAAGAATTTCACCAACTTTTGCGGTCAGATTCGGAATCCGCGGTAGATTCTGGTCAACGGTCAGCCGAAAATGACTGCCCGAAATTCTAATCATATCCAACTATTCAGCAAAAAAAAAAAAAAAAAAAAAAAAAAAAAAAAAAAAAACCTCCTTTCCTGCGTAAGCTCTGCGTAAGCTGTTGTATCTGGGTACTAAGAAAAAACAACGCACTCTCTCTCCCCTCTCTCATTCCTCTCGCTTTCTCGGAAAAATTTTGCAGCAAATCCGATAATAGTATGTATTCTCCCCAGTTTTCGGGTCATTAAATATTGTTATTGTGTAATTATTCGCAATTATGAGGTTTTTGCATGAATCACGTAATCGCAATTATTTTATTCTATCTTACGATGTTATTATATAGACACACACGTACATTTGCTTAGTTCAATTTTCTCGGGAAACAAACAGATTGGGTGAGATTTTATCATTTGATATATTGTTATAATCTGCAGCGAGGGTGATCAGGATGGGAGAGAGTGACGAAGGGATCAGGAGGAGGGGATGTTCGTGCTCAAAAGACGATTTTCTCCCCGAAGAGTCATTCAGGAGCTGGGGCAATTATGTCAAGGCGCTCAAAGAGACGCCGTTCCGGTTAAAGGATCGGGTCCTGACCCGGTCATCCGACACGTCGGAGCTGGTGGACATGAAGGCTCGGAGCCAGCATGAGATGAAGAAGACACTCAATTGGTGGGACCTCATTTGGTTCGGCATGGGCGCCGTCATTGGTGCCGGAATCTTTGTTCTCACCGGTCTTGAGGCCAAAGAAGACGCCGGTCCAGCTGTCGTCTTATCCTACGTTGTTTCCGGCATCTCGGCTATGCTTTCTGTTTTCTGTTACACCGAATTTGCGGTCGAGATTCCTGTGGCAGGTCAGCTTAAGTTAATATTAAGAAATCTGTGTTAGGAACACTCAAAAAAAAATTATATATGTTGTAACCAAATAATATTACCAAGGGAATTTTTCGTCTTTATAGCATTTGTATGTGTATTAGAATAAAGAAAACTATATTAATATAAGAAAATTTAATAAAAGTTTAACGGTTTAAGATGTTATTTTTCCATCATAGAATTCTCAAATTTGTAATAGCATGCAAAATTTTTAACACATTTTAATTTCCCTGAGTTTTTTTTTTTTTTTTTGATTGTTAAGCCACCAATTTTTTATTTTTGTTTTTTTTTTTTTAATTTTTAATGGACCCATTGAACTGTGCTCACAGGTACACCTCTTTCTTTTGCACATAATAGATGTAAATCTTCTTTCTACTTCAATGCGATTTCATTTTGTTGAAAATATTGTAATCCCTTTAGACAATTATAAATTCAACCTTTTGTATTTAGCAGTTCTTGATTGACTTTTGGTTTCCCCAAAAAACGCTTGAACAATAATATCGGCTGGTTGTTTGTTTTGCTGAAATATTGTGTACTCGATAGCTTTCTTTTCTTTTCTTTTTCTTTTTTTGCTCGTAACTCGTAGCTTACTTTTTTTAAAGGAGAAAAACCTTTTTCTTTAGATCTGAACTTTAAATTTGATTTCAAGAATGAAAGCGGATTTAAATGTATCTTTTGACTCGCAATTTGAATAATAATTTAATCATTTTAAGTCGGTGTTTCTTCTCGTAACAATTTGAAACTTTTGGTATTTTCGACTAAAATAAGTTACTTTCTTGGCGAATACTGTGATGGAGTTATCTATCCAGTTGTAGTTTGCCTAACTGCTATCTAGTTGTTGCTGAATAAATTTGGATCTAGTCCCCTCCCGTTGCTAATGTACCTTTGACTCTTTTTGCAGCTCATTAATTGCATTCCCATGTGCCTTTTTTTTTTTTTTTTTTTTTTTTTTTTTTTAAAGGTTTTCGTTATCTGGACTAATAATCCACACATATATAGTCAACGCCCATGCTATTAAGTAAGTAATAAGATACTGGCCCATCCGTGGACCCCACTACCATAAATTCTAGTGAAACAGTTTTTTTTCCACCCGCCCCCCCTTATTTGATAAATGTTAAATTTAGATCTGTATTTGAAAGATCAGATTGTGGCGTTATCATGTGAACAAAAATGGTATCATACCAAACCCATTAGTCTCCAATCCTAGAATTTAATTGTCCTCATCTTCCTCCCTGCCTAACTTTTAATTTTCTCACTTGGAATATTGCGTTGTGTGCGTTATACGAAAATTGCGTATAAAAAGGGAAATTAAAAATTAATTTCTGAACTAAATTCATTTTGAGTGCAATATTGTTGTATTTTTGGACGTGTTATGTAAACGGTAGAATTGCAGTAAAAGAAATTTACCTTTTTGGCCATATGATTCCTATTAACAATATGATCAGTACAAAGCGTTCTGATCGTGTTGTCTTACCATTAAAAAAACAAGACCAGTTCATCAACTTAAACGACACTGAATATATATAAATTCCACCCAATTATTAAAAAAAAAAAAAAAAAAAAAAAAAATTCCACATCCATCACCATACCGTTAAAAACTTGAACCAATCAGGATTAACAAAGTTAATCACGTCTAAATCCCGATTTCACTTTACATAAAGTGTATCGAATTAATCAGGGATCTTTGATTTGTTTTTTTGGTGATATGCATTGCTTGATAGTTGATGCTAATATTTCTAATAAATTAATATATAATTGATCTCCTTCAGGTGGTTCGTTTGCCTACTTAAGGGTGGAGCTCGGTGACTTCATGGCCTTCATCGCCGCCGGCAACATCATCCTCGAATACATAATCGGCAATGCTGCGGTGGCCCGGTCATGGACTTCCTACTTGGCCACTCTCCTAAACCACAAGCCAAACGATTTCCGTATAACGGCCTCCAGCCTCAACCCTGACTACAGCCACCTCGACCTCTTAGCGGTCGCTGTTATCACCGGCGTCTGCGCCTTTGCCGTCCTCTCCACCAAGGGCTCCTCCCGCCTCAACTACGTCGCCTCCATCGTCCACCTCATCGTTATCGCCTTCATCATCATCGCAGGCCTCATGAAGGCCAATACCGCCAATTACACCCCTTTCCTCCCTTACGGCGCCCGTGGCGTCTTCAAGGCCTCTGCCGTCCTCTTCTTCGCCTATGTTGGGTTCGACGCTGTCTCCACCATGGCTGAGGAGACAACGAATCCTGGCAAAGACATCCCCATCGGGCTCATCGGCTCGATGATCGCCACCACCGTGCTGTACTGCCTGCTCGCCATAACGCTTTGCCTAATGCAGCCCTACAAACAGATTGACCCTGACGCGCCATTTTCGGTCGCTTTTGAAGCTGTTGGTATGAGCTGGGCCAAGAACCTCGTGGCTCTAGGCGCATTGAAGGGAATGACGAGCGTTTTGCTTGTCGGCGCGGTTGGCCAAGCGAGGTACCTCACCCACATCGCTAGGGCTCACATGCTGCCGCCATGGCTGGCCCACGTCAACGAGAAAACCGGGACGCCCATCAACGCCACAATCTTCATGCTTATTGCAACTTCAGTGATTGCCTTCTTCACCAACCTCGAGATCTTATCGAATCTCCTTTCGATCTAGACTCTCTTCATTTTCATGCTCGTTGCCATCGCCCTTCTCGTTCGCCGCTACTACACAACTGATGTCACAACGAAAGGTGATCAGTTGAAGTTCACTATTTTCCTTGTTGTCATAGTTGCTTCCTCAATTGCGACATCGGCTTACTGGGCAGTTAGTGATGGGTGGATCGGGTACGCCATTACGGTGCCCATTTGGTTGTTGGGAACTTTGGGGCTATCCCTTTTTGTTCCTCAAGCAAAGACTCCGAAAATCTGGGGCGTGCCGTTCGTGCCGTGGCTGCCATCCGTGTCAATAGGGATTAACATTTTCCTTCTTGGCTCTATTGATGGGGCTTCGTTTGTGAGATTTGGTATTTGGACTGGGGTGATATTGGTTTATTATATCTTCTTTGGATTGCATGCTTCTTATGACACTGCCAAGGAGGCTGAGAAGCAGAAGGGCTCTGGGGTTGAATTCACAAAGGCTGAAGAAGGGGACCTATCTATTTCTTATTGAGTTTGATATATGTTTCTGATCAATTCTTAGAGTGTTAGTTAGCTCAGTACGTAGTAGGGATGTAGAAAAGGTGTTTAATATTCATAGTAAAAGAAGTTCTATTTAATTTGGTTCCAAAAAATCCCAAATAAAAAAAAAACACAGAACAAAAGGTTTTCTTTTGGGGTTCGTTTTTGTTTATTGCTACTATTCTCTATCCTTCAATAAACATTGTCTCTTGCAAATTAAAATATCGGTTGTTATAATATTACTATTTAATATTGAGAACTTTTACAGTAAGAATTGTTGTTTTGCACTCCTGCGAAATTGTTATTTTAGTTATTACATTAATTTTTTAATGATTTGATTTGAGAATAATTTTGTATTGTCTATTGTAAATTTCTAATAGGCATATGCAGTACTTACTGCCCTAATGAAAAAGACGATTCTTATCGTAAAAGATCTATATAGTATTTAACATATATAATATAATATATGATGTGAACTCGGTTCGACTATTCACTGTGATGTTCTCTACTTTAGAAATTTCATTAACAAAATATGAAAACAAATTTTATTTTACATTTTTGTGTTTCAGTGTAAAACGAAATCAAACGTAATTTTTAAAATAATTATTAACTGACACACCTTATAAATATTGTGAGAAAACCTTTCAAAATGCTACCAGATGGGTCCTAGTGCTTAGTGGCTAGCCACCACCATTACATGAAGAGAAAAGGCAGCGGATAGAATTGCTTTGTCCAAAGGATGTGCTAAGTAGTACTGGGTAACACCCCAATTTCTACTTAACGGTAAATAGGGGTTTTATCATTAGAATTGACGGAAATGATATCATGACACTTATTACTAACGTGCTATAATTTAGTGATGTTACAGTGACGAAGAACTCGACGTGATATGAAAAGTTCGTGTCAATAACGTGATGAAGTAATATGAAATAAGATTTGTGTTATAATTATGATTTCTAGTTATTTAACCTAACCCAATATTTATTATTTATGAATTTTCTTAGATTTTAATCACACCTCCAAATCTCTGTTTGATTAGGTTACATATATTTTATGCTATCAATAAAAAGAATATCATGTATACATTCTAACATATACTTTATTATAGATGTTAAATATATATATATATATATATATAGTTGATCATATATAACACGTTTTGAAATTATATTATTTTATACATATACATATTAGTTATATGAAAAAAAAAAAAAAAAAGTAAATCATAGGCCTTTCGGCCAATTGACATCAAATATTGTTGGCAACTAATTGCCGTATTAGCTATATAAATAACTCGGTAACTATATAATATAACCATATACCCTACCACTCATTCCACACGTAGCCTCCCATTCTTCTTATTTTCTCTATATATTTTTTTCCCTTTCCTCCTTACTTCTACACTCGTGTTGATCATTTAAAGCTACAACATACTTATGCTTAGGCATTCTCAAATATTTTATATCAAGATTAGGAGAGTTAAAGGTATGCTTAGAAACCCTAATACTTTTATAATATGTTTTATAATTGAAATTTTTCACAAATTATAACGGTATATATTTTTTTAATATGATTTCACCTCTTTTATGTTGCATTTCTAAGGTTATTTAGGTATTCATGATGATTTATTTGTTTGAAAAGAAAAATAATTTGAATTATTAGTTTGTTTTAATCAAGTTTTCATTGACCGAAAAATTTATCTATTGAGATTAATGTACTATGGTTGTGAAAATTCTTATGGTATATTTTATTATGATTTCAATCATAGTAATCATGAATCAATTATTTTAGTTGGGTTTTATTAGACTTTTGATTGGTTATTAAATTACTTCATGTGATACGCCTATTTTCATTTAAATACCTGACAGCCGTTATACTCTAGTGATTTCTAACTTTGTATTGTTCTGTTTATGTTTTTTTCTCTCTCTCTTTTTTTATAAAAAAAATAGACATCTTAATCTTTTATTTAGCTTTTAAATCACTCAAATCAAAAATTTTTTTAATTAGTTATGACTTTTCAAAGTTGACTTAAAAATTTGTCTAATTTAAAATGGACTCGAATTTTAGATTGGTTTCCGGGGACTTGATCTTCATGCATTTTATTGTTAAGGATTTTTTGCATGGATACTTCCTTAATTCGTCGCCTTTGACAAATCAGCATTCGAACTAAAACTCTTGGTAATTGACTCCTCGAATTTTAAAATCTGTTACATTAGTGATCCAATTAAACATGGTATTAAATATTGTGAATTAAAAATAACAAAAGATAGTACAATTAAAACTAGAGTTAAATTTATGAATAGTCTTTGAACTTTTTTTCTTTCTATAATTAGTCTCTTTAGTCAATTTATCTCATGAATAGTCCTCGAACTCAAAAAGTTTCTCTTAGATGGTCCATTTGTTAAATGTTGGATGGAAACTGTTAACTTTACCTTATAAAAGGTCTCTAAACTATTTTTCTCTACTAAATTTAATCCCCAAACCTAAAAAAAAAAAAAAATTTCCAAAATCACATCATTTTTAAAATTATTGGATGTAAAAAAAAATTAAACATGAAAGTTGTACCAAACTTAGTCTCTAAACTAAAACAAAAAAAAAAAGTGATTCTATTGACCGCATTAAATTTTTAAATAACCCAGTATAAACAATGATTTTTTTATATTTTTTTGTTACAGTAGATAAAATAATGTTATGAAATAATCATGTGATACACTTTGTTGTATTGTGGATTGTGGTTTGCATTAATTGCTTTTAAATGTGTTGGGCTTCATTTTTTTGTTTAGTTTTGAATTAAATTAGTTTGTAATTTTATTTTTTATAGAAATTTATTTTTTAATAAGAAAATAAAAAACTAAAGTGACAAAGTGAGAGATAAAAATGTTAAAATTGGTATAATATAAAAGGTATTTATGAAAGTATATATTCTAAAGTTATTATTACCATATAATAATTTATGGAAAGATATATTAATACAGTAGGGCAAATATAATGACACTAAAAAATATATTAAAGTTACACATGTGAATAAATAGATAAAAAAAAAGTCCAATATGTGTAGCAAAAAAAAAAATAATTTTGGTATTTTTTTATTTTTAGAACTAAATTTGGTACAACTTCTTAAATTTAATGTTTTCTATCTACTTAAAAAAAAGAACTAATTTTGGCATATCTTTTATTATTATTTTTTTAAGTTTAAGGATTAAATTTAAAACTTTTAATATAGAGACTAATTTTAAAGAGAGAAAATAGTTTAAAGACTTTTTACAATACAAAATTAACTTTTTTCATCCAAAATTTAACAAAGATACTATTTATAAGAAAATTTTTTAGTTTAGAGACTATGTATGAGGTAAATTGATTACAGGAATAGTTATAGAAAGAGAAAGAATTTCGAATTTAACTCTTACTATATGGAAAAGCCCACCTACTTCGTTCTCTCTCTCACCTTCGACTGCACCCGACGTTATGCGGCGATGGCGGCTTTGTCGTACAGCCAACTAGCGAAAATGAAGTACAACCCACGCTCTCAAGCTTCTTCACCCAAGAACAGTCAACCTCCTCCTTGGCCAACACAAATCAAATCCATATGATTCACAAAACAAAAGGATCCAAATTCTCATCACAAAATTGAACCCATGCTAGATCCATCTCTTCTTATCGCATCGCAGCACAAGAAACAAAGTTTTAAGACTACATTTTCATATCATTAGTGCGTTTTAATTAAAAACACAATCTTTCGGATTGAAACAAAGAACAAAGTCTTTGCTTCGCTAATTTAAATTTTATTAACTTGAACTTTTTTGTTTAAACAGAAAAATTCTAATTGTGTGATTTAAATTTTAATTTAAATTGATATTTAGATGTGCAGTTAAAATTTTAATTCAAATAAAAAAGAAAATTTAAATTTGTGTTTGGTAAATATTAAAAGTAGAGAGAATTGACACATTCTTATTGTTAAAAAATAATTTAAACCGTTAAATTTAAAGGGAAATTAAACTCAAAATTATACAATTTAACTCAATTTCAATAGAAAATATAATTTAAACTTTGTATTTATATTTAAATTGTGTTCACTGTTTAAATTAAACTAAACTAAACAGTGAAACAAACGGGTCAAAGTTTCTTCCCAATGAAAACCGATTCCGAACATAGAGACTCCCCGTTTACTTCGCTGATTCGAGTTTAGAATTCGAGTTGAGATGTGATTTTATGTGAGAACTTTTTACTGTAGCAAAAAAGTTAGATGTGATTGTTTGTGAGAGCTTTTTACTGTAAAAAAATTCAAAATTTAAACTCGAATCAGCGAAGTGAACGGCCCCAAGACTCAACTTCTTTTCTTCTTCTAATAATAATAATTTCAAAATCTTTCTTGGAAATAGACAAGTATGGATGCTCAGCCTAAGACTGCTTTAGTGCTTTGGCATCTGCGACCTCCTCGACTTGGTATCTTCTTTTTCACCTCCAACTCCGTCGCCGCGGACGGTGCTGATTTTCACCACCACAACCTCCCTCCGCTCTCTCCCACCGACTTCACCAACAGCCTATGCGTCCTTGTACGATCCCGAAAAAAGAAAACTCAACCCAGCAAATAACATTTAAATTTCGCAACAGCTTTTTTTAAGTTTTTTTTTTTTTTTGGTTGTTTTGAGTAGAGAGATAATGCAGTGGAGTTGGAGTGGCTGTAGCGGTTCGTTGACGACTCGTTCAAAGAGTAGAACAGGAGAGAGAGGCAAAAAATTCTTGGATTTGCAGATTGGGGATTTCTTTGTTGTTTTTTGTTTTTGTTTTTGTTTTATTTATTTATTTTTGTTAATTTCCAAGTTGAAGTTAAAGACCTCCAATACCGTTATGAGATGGTCATGTGCAAATCATGTGACAAACAACCATCTAAATTTTAACAGAATTATTAAAAGGACTAATGATGCAACACATTTATGAGTTTAACGGGTCAATTGCCACAAATTTTTTTTCTTTTTTTTGTGATCAATTTACCAAAGACCTTAAGTTTCGGGAGTATTCGTGTCAAAAGGCCTATTATTAAAACATGCGTATAATATATCAAATTATTTGTTTTCGACTCAATGTTAGGGTCCAGTAGATTCGAAGAGTCGACATAACTTATCAGGGGTTGAC